AGATATAGATATATATGTATATATATATATATAGATAGATAGATAGATAGATAGATAGATAGATAGATAGATAGATAGATAGATAGATAGATAGATAGATAGATAGATAGATAGATAGATAGATAGATATAGATATATATATATATATGCACACACATACACACACGCATATATATATATATAGATATATATATATATAGATAGATAGATAGATAGATAGATAGATAGATAGATATAGATATATATATATATATGCACACACATACAAACACGCATATATATATATATAGATAGATAGATAGATAGATAGATAGATAGATAGATAGATAGATAGATAGATAGATAGATAGATAGATAGATAGATATAGATATAGATATAGATATATATATATATAGATAGATAGATAGATAGATAGATAGATATAGATATAGATATAGATATATATATATATATAGATAGATAGATAGATAGATAGATAGATAGATAGATAGATATAGATATATATATATATAGATATATATATATATAGATAGATATATAGATAGATAGATAGATAGATAGATAGATAGATAGATAGATAGATAGCACCCAGCAAAATTTGATTGTTTTATGGCGTGTGGACAGGTAGACCAACCAGTTCTGGATCTTACAAACAAGGAGGTTGGTGATGTGTATTGACTTTATGAGTGTTAATGAGTTGCGGGAGTCAGTAAAAATTGTAAAGGACGAAGAGGGGAGTGAGCATATGTGTTTTAAGGCAAAAAGGAGTGCATACAATTCTGTAGTAAAGACACTTGATTCAGGAGGGAGGGAGTGTTTGAAAGTATGATTTGGGAAGATTAATGCAAATCCAGCACCGGAGGTGGATTTGGAGCCATCAGTATATACGTGAATACTGGAGGAATGAGTGGAGACATGGTTAAGGAAATGGGTGAGAAGGACAGCAGGAAGAATATCTGATTTTGGTGGGGCAGGGAAAACAGAAGAGCAAATATGGGGGTAAGGTATAAGCCATGGAGGGACAGAATGGAGGTCGGAGATGGGGGAAAGGGGAATGGGAGAGGAGGGTATCCATGCGAGTGGGGAAAGGAGTAGGTAAACGTGGAGATGAAGCAAAGGTAGGAAGTAGGGATTGTGGGATAGTTAGTTTAGTGAGGGAAAGTTGGTGGAATCGAGCATAACATCGGAGAGAGAGAAGGGCACGCCGTCAAGATAGAGATGGTATGCCTGATTCAGTGTACAGGCTCTCAACTAGAGAGGAGCAGAAGGCGCCTAGGGCTAAGCGAAGACCACAGTGATGGATTGTATCAAGATGGGCAAGGAGAGAAGTTGAGGCAAAGGAGTAGATATGGCTCCTTGCGATCTGAGCCCCATGATATATGGGATAGAGTTTGTAAAATTCGAAGACGCGAGTAAGACAGGCGAGTAAGTCTTCTTCACAATCTGACCAATCGTTGTCATAGATTGGGCAATTTGCTGGGAGATAGAAACAGTTCCGGTGCAAGTATTGAGGGTTGGATGGGGTTCTGCAAGGTTGGGATTACTATATAGCTAAGTTAGATTTGCTAATGCTTTAGCTTGGTTTTCAGATGTTACTGTGACGAGACAGGAGCGGTCGGGTAGGCTACGGAAAGAGACTTTGCCTACTTGTTTTTGGAGACATTATTGGAAATGGAGGGTGTTGTCAGATTAGGGAGCTGTGGGAGGGATCACGAAAAATCGGTCCCATTTGGCTGGGCTAAATAGAGTATTTAAGATTGTTGTAGAGATAGGTGTAGTAGAAGGGCGGAGGCGTGTTAAAGAGGGAGTAGTGTTGAGGGAGGTAGTGTTATGGAGAGGTGGACAATAAGGCTGTAAGGTATTAATAAGGGAGGATGGGGTAGTTGATGAAGAAGGTTGTGGGGGTACAGGTGTTGAAGTTGAGCATGTTGGGAGAGTAGAAATGTCTCTTGGGGGTTGAGTGTTGACTACTGTACTAGTAGGCATTGAGGAAGGGGTAGCTGTTGCAGTGTTCGGAGCCGTAGTCAAAGCAGAGCCTGGGGTCAGGGAATCGGGAGGGTTTGAATTGTTGGGGCTATTTGATGAAGGGGCAAGTCTCATTGCCCCTAATAGTGGAATTACGTCTTCATTATTGGCCATGGTAAGCCTGGAGTATGTTGGGGAGAAAAACAGTCCACCCCTCAGGGTCCCCCTGAGGGGTAAGGGCTAGGCAACTAAGCAGGGGAGTACCGTGCCCAAGGCTCCCTCAGGCCGTTCAGGACTAGCACAAAGTCAGCCTTTCATCCTTTCAGCACGGCTCTCACACCTTAGGAGGTGGATAGTAGAAGGGATTGGTGTAGGGACAGAAACGAAAAAGTAGAAAGGGAAAAAGACCATGCAAAATTAGTTGAGTCGAGGGCTGAGTCCCAAGATTGGGGAGTTCTCTATCTTTGGGTCCCAGTCTCCGCCTCCTAAGCCCCCCCCCCCCCACGACAACAACGGGCAAGGGATTGGGGGGGGGGGGACAAGAAGAGAAGGGGAAACAAATAACGATAAAATGTCATTTCTGTCTCACGTTTTAT